TGAAGCAAAAATATGAAGAATTTTGGAATAAATTTTAATATTTTGTTAATTAAATAAAAATTATTTAATTTATTTAAATTGTTGGGAAAAAGCCAAAAATTTCAATATTTTTTCAACTTTTATTTGCAAAATTGATCCTTCGTCTTTTTTCTTACAAAATAATCGACTTATAGACTTTGATAACACAAAAAAGTCAACTTCGACTTTTTCCTACATAAAAGTAAAACAACATACCTGGCAACTCTAAAAACACCAGCAACTTCATTCGAAAAAAATGTAAACAAATGACAGTGCAAAATGCAATTATAACATTTTATATTTTTTTCTTATTAGAACTCTATATCTTCATCTTTTATTATGTATTTCCATTTCACACATTCACATTCATTTTAACACTTTTTTTTCATTGACAAACAACAAGTGTTGAAATTAATGGTGACCTGTTGCATTTTTTGCAAATTGGCTGCCACTGCCTTATAATTTTTCATTTCTAACAATTAAACACAAAATTTTCCTAAAACTTTTATTTATTCCACAAAATATAACTCTTGCCGAACATTTTGATATAAAAATTATTAAAATCACACAACTTTTACTATAAAAATTTAACAAAATTAAAATTCACAAACAAAAAGACAACCGGCCGCTATTAAAAATACGAAAAAACTAAAAAGTAGAAGTAAAAAAGTAAACAGAGCGAATTGAGAGTTGAGAGATATAGTGGATTGAGAATTGTAAACATCCAAGACAATGTTTGCATAAAGTAAAGACAACAACCAATTTAAAAGACAACAAAAATTAGTAAAGACAACTTTTGCTTTAATATGTAAAACATTAAATTTTAATTTGAAATTATTTATTACTGACTAGACTAGACTACTGATTTTAGTAGGAAACACAGTGTGACAGTAAAAATTTATATAAGAGCAAAACTTTTAATAATATTATGTTTTTATATATTAGGCTGCTAATAATTTTTTTTATGCAATTTTCTCTTGGAACAAAACCTGATAGCTTTTCATAAACAAATTTTTAAACTATAACTCTATATTATTGAAAATACACTAAAAAGAACAAATGAACAAAGTATTATTGTGTTCTTGAAATTAATACTTTTCTAAAATCTTTACCGTAAAAGCCAAAAATATATTTTATGAATTGTTAAAAATATACCAAATCATAAGAATCCCCGCATAAAAAGTCAAACAACATACCTGGCAACTCTAAAAACAACAGCAACTTCATTTGGAAAAAACGTAAACAAATGACAGTGCAATTAATATTGCATTTTTTATTTATTTCTAATTAGAACTCTATATCTTCATCTCTTATTATGTATTTTCATTTCAAACTTTCACTTTTTACATTTTAACACTTTTTTTCGTTGACAAACAACAAGTGATGAAATTAATGGTGACCTGTTGCATTTTTGCAAATTGGCTGCCGCCGCCTTATAATTTCTCATTTTTAACAAATATACACTAAATTCTGCACAAACTTTTATTAATTTCATAAAATATATTTCTTGCTGACCATTTTGATATAAAAATTATTAAAATCACACAACTTTTACTATAAAAATTTAACAAAATAAAATTTCACAAACAATAACACAACCGGCCGCAAATAAAATCACGAAAAAAACTGAAAAGTAAAACAAAAAAGTAAACAGAGCGAGTTGAGAATTAAGAAATAGAGCGGATACTAAACAGTGTTGCCACTATTTTTCCAGCATTTCCCGTTAAACCATGTCACAAAAACCGAAAAAAACCGTCAAAAGCCTCTAGAAAACGGCAAATTTAACCGGCAGCTGGAAATTTTGTAATTTGAAAAAAAAAAAAAATCCAAATTTTTATGAAAAGTAAGAATATTGAATTTCGACTATAGATTAGGCCACTGAAAGTACTCTACACTATAGATCAGACATTTGATTCGACTATAGACTAGACTATAGACTAAACTATAAACTAGACTATAGACTAGACTATAGATTAGACTATAGATTAGACTACAGACTAGACTATAGATTAGACTATAGATTAGACTATAGACTAGACTATAGACTAGACTATAGACTAGACTATAGACTAGACTAGACTAGACTAGACTATAGACTAGACTATAGACTAGACTATAGACTAGACTATAGACCAGACTATAGACTAGACTATAGACTAGACTATAGATTGACTATAGACTAGACTATAGACTAGACTATAGATTGACTATAGACTAGACTATAGACTAGACTATAGACTAGACTATAGACTAGACTATAGACTAGACTAGACTAGACTATAGACTAGACTATAGACTAGACTATAGACTAGACTATAGACTAGACTATAGACTAGACTATAGACTAGACTATAGACTAGACTATAGACTAGACTATAGACAGACTATAGACTAGACTATAGACTAGACTATAGACTAGACTATAGACTAGACTATAGACTAGACTATAGACTAGACTATAGACTAGACTATAGACTAGACTATAGACTAGACTATAGACTATAGACTAGACTATAGACTAGACTATAGACTATAGACTAGACTATAGACTAGAATATAGACTAGACTATACTAGACTATAGACTATACTATAGACTAGACTATAGACTATACTATAGACTAGACTATTAGACTATAGACTAGACTATAGACTAGACTATAGACTAGACTATAGACTAGACTATAGACTAGACTATAGACTAGACTATAGACTAGACTATAGACTAGACTATAGACTAGACTATAGACTAGACTATAGACTAGACTATAGACTAGACTATAGACTAGACTATAGACTAGACTATAGACTAGACTATAGACTAGACTATAGACTAGACTATAGACTAGACTAGGCTATAGACTAGACTATAGACTAGACTAGACTATAGACTAGACTAGACCATAGACTAGACTATAGACTAGACTATAGACTAGACTATAGACTAGACTATAGACTAGACTATAGACTAGACTATAGACTAGACTATAGACTAGACTATAGACTAGACTATAGACTAGACTATAGACTAGACTATAGACTAGACTATAGACTAGACTATAGACTAGACTAGACTATAGACCAGACTAGACTATAGACTAGACTATAGACTAGACTATAGACTAGACGATAGACTAGACTATAGACTAGACTATAGACTAGACTATAGAGACTATACTATAGACTAGACTATAAGACTAGACTATAGACTAGACTATAGAACTAGACTATAGACTAGACTATAGACTAGACTATAGACTAGACTATAGACTAGACTATAGACTAGACTATAGACTAGACTATAGACTAGACTATAGACTAGACTTAGACTAGACTATAGACTAGACTATAGACTAGACTATAGACTAGACTATAGACTAGACTATAGACTAGACTATAGACTAGACTATAGACTAGACTATAGACTAGACTATAGACTAGACTATAGACTAGACTATAGACTAGACTATAGACTAGACTATAGACGAGACTATAGACTAGACTATAGACTAGACTATAGACTAGGACTATAGACTAGACTATAGACTAGACTATAGACTAGACTATAGACTAGACTATAGACCTAGACTATAGGACTAGACTATAGACTAGACTATAGACTAGACTATAGACTAGACTATAGACTAGACTATAGACTATAGACTAGACTATAGACTAGACTATAGACTAGACTATAGACTAGACTATAGACTAGACTATAGACTAGACTATAGACTAGACTATAGACTAGACTATAGACTAGACTATAGACTAGACTATAGACTAGACTATAGACTAGACTATAGACTAGACTATAGACTAGACTATAGACTAGACTTAGACTAGACTATAGACTAGACTATAGACTAGACTATAGACTAGACTATAGACTAGACTATAGACTAGACTATAGACTAGACTATAGACTAGACTATAGACTAGACTATAGACTAGACTATAGACTAGACTATAGACTAGACTATAGACTAGACTATAGACTAGACTATAGACTAGACTATAGACTAGACTATAGACTAGACTATAGACTAGACTATAGACTAGACTATAGACTAGACTATAGACTAGACTATAGACTAGACTATAGACTAGACTATAGACTAGACTATAGACTAGACTATAGACTAGACTATAGACTAGACTATAGACTAGACTATAGACTAGACTATAGACTAGACTATAGACTAGACTATAGACTAGACTATAGACTAGACTATAGACTAGACTATAGACTAGACTATAGACTAGACTATAGACTAGACTATAGACTAGACTATAGACTAGACTATAGACTAGACTATAGACTAGACTATAGACTAGACTATAGACTAGACTATAGACTAGACTATAGACTAGACTATAGACTAGACTATAGACTAGACTATAGACTAGACTATAGACTAGACTATAGACTAGACTATAGACTAGACTATAGACTAGACTATAGACTAGACTATAGACTAGACTATAGACTAGACTATAGACTACACTATAGACTAGACTATAGACTAGACTATAGACTAGACTATAGACTAGACTATAGACTACACTATAGACTAGACTATAGACTAGACTATAGACTAGACTATAGACTACACTATAGACTAGACTATACACTACACTATAGACTATAGACTAGACAAAATATTAAATAATATTATGTTTTTATATATTAGGCTATAAAAATAACTTTAAAAATCTGTGGAATTTTGCTAATAAAATATTAATTGTAACAATTTTCTCTTGGAACAAAACCTAATAACATTTCATAAACGTATTTTTAAACCATCACTCAATATATTGAAAATACAATAAAAACAATAAATTAACGAAGTATTGTAAAGTGTGTTCTTAAAATAAATATTTTTCGAAGAACTTAACCGTAAAAACCTTTAATTAATTTTTGGAATTGTTAAAAAAAATCCCGCATCATAAAAATCCCACAATAAAAAGTAAAACAACATACCTGGTAACCCTAAAAACACCAGCAACTTCATTTGGCAAAAAAAAGTAAACAAATGACAATGCAATTATTAATGCATTTTATATTTTTTCCTTATTAGAACTCTGTTTCTTTTTCTTTTATAAAAATTTATTATTTATTTTCATTTCACACTTTCACGTTTAACACTTTTTTGTTATTGACAACAACAAGTAATAAAATTATTGGTGATCTATTGCATTTTTTTGGCAATTTGGCTGCCGCTGCCTTATACTTCTTCATTTTTAACAAATAAACACTAAATTTTGCTAAAACTTTTATTAATTTCACAAAATATAACTCTTGCTGAACATATTGATATAAGAATTATTAAAATCACACAACTTTTACTATAAAATTTTAACAAAACCAAATTTTACAAACAAAAACACAACCGGCCGCAAATAAAAACACGAAAAAACTAAAAAGTAGAAGCAAAAATGTAAACAGAGCGAATAGAGTGTTAAGAAATAGTGTGGATCAAGGCGAATTCAGAACTGAATTTGCCTTGGTGCGGATAGTAAACTGCTTTAAAAAATCGAAACATCCAAGACAATGCGTGCACAAAGCAAAGACAACAACCAATTTAAAGGAAAACATATGTAAATAAGCAAGGACAACTTTTGCTTCTTTATTAAACGTTAAATTTAAATTTTTAATTATTTATTACTGATCTTAGTAGGAAATGCAGTAAAAATGTATAATGTAAGAGCTAAACTTAAAATAATATTATGTTTTTATATATTAGGCTATCAAAATCTGGAAAATGCTAATAGATTTTTAATTACAAACCATTTCATCTTGGAACAAAACTTAATAGCTTTTCATAAACATATTTTTAAACTTCAACCTACATATATATTAAAAATGTCCGGGAAAAATGTGTTTAATAGTTTATTTTATTTGTTCCTTTAAACATAAACAGCTTGTCGTTATGAAAAGGGTGCCTGGTCTGAATGTACTAATGGACAAATGACGCGTGAGGATAAATTGAAAGCAACAGGCGGTGTTGAGGCCAGCTGTGAGGCCGTGCGCAGTATTAACAAGAAATGTAATCCCAATAATGGTGCCAGCAAACAGGCTAGTGGAGGTGGTGGCAATGGCAAAAAGGAACGTAAAAACAAAGAAAAAGGTAAATAATTTAACACTTGGGAGTCTTTATAACAATTAGCTAAATATATATATATATATATTTTTCTTCCTCTTTTAGGTTCCCGTCGTGTTGTTAAGAACTAAAGTAACCACAAAATAAACCACAATTTTCTAATATTATTTTAAGCACATTTTTTATATATATAAAACAAAAGTTATTTAAGGCAGAAAAGTAAAGAAAACCCCTATAAAGTAATAAATAACTAACATTAAATACAAAACAAACAATTATTTACATTATAAATTATACATTTTCATAATTTGCATTATAATAAATTATCATAAAACTTATAAAATTCATAAACATACTAACAACTAATTACAAAATTTATATAAATTAAACTTTTTCCATCTTTAAATATAATCAGTTTTTAAAACAAATTTATAACGTAAATTTGGTTATGTATTTTATTAAATACAAAATATAATATTATACATTTTAAAATATATTTTAGTTTAATAAAAATCTAAATGTAATTTTATTCTTTTACAAAATATGTATTACAAAGTAAATGAAAAATAATTAATAATTTTTTTAATAATATATAAATAAAATGGGAAAAAACTTTTAATTGTAATTTGTTTTATTTTAGAAAAACTTTTCTAAATACAACAAAACTCCTTTGAATCTTTTCTATAAAAAAATCTAAAGTTTTTACAAAAGTCTTTTAACGAAAGTTTTTCTATAAGAAAACTTTTCTAACGAAAGTTTTTCTATAAGAAAACTCTTCTAACGAAAAGTTTTCTATAAGACAACTCTTGTAACGAAAAGTTTTCTATAAGAAAACTCTTGTAACGAAAAGTTTTCTATAAGAAAACTCTTGTAACGAAAAGTTTTCTATAAGAAAACTCTTGTAACGAGAAGTTTTCTATAAGAAAACTCTTGTAACGAAAAGTTTTCTATAAGACAACTCTTGTAACGAAAAGTTTCCTATAAGAAAACTCTTGTAACGAAAAGTTTTCTATAAGAAAACTCTTGTAAGGAAAAGTTTTCTATAAGAAAACTCTTGTAACGAAAAGTTTTCTATAAGAAAACTCTTCTAACGAAAAAATTTCTATAAGAAAACTCTTCTAACGAAAAGTTTTCTGTAAGAAAACTCTTCTAACGAAAATTTTTCTATATGAAAAACTTGTAAGGAAAAGTTTTCTATAAGAAAACTCTTGTAGAAAAGTTTTCTATAAGAAAAATCTTCTAAACAAAAGTATATTCCAACTTTTCTAGTCGGATTTTTAATGAAAAATCTTAACTCGTGTGAATGTGAATTGATAGAAAAATAAAATTTTAATTAAAAAAATTTATAAAACTTTAGTTTTTTGATGAAATTTAAAATTGTTGATTAAATTTAAAATTGTTCTAAAATTTAAAATTTTTGATAATAAATTAAAATTTTTTTTTTTTTTTACAGATGGAAAAATTTTTTAATATACATTTATTGAGAACAAGATTTTTGATTAAGAATTTTCATAAATTATTGAAAAATGAATATATGAAAATTTTACATTTCATATTAACCTTGCCATTTGGGTTAATATTTATTGAGAACAAAAAGAAATAGCTATACCATTTCCAAAGCTTTCTAGAAAAAAAAAAACTTACAAAATTAGTTTGGAATATAATAGTAGTGCACACCTCGGCTTTCTGATAATGTTTTTAATTAGGTATTTAAATGCTACACAGTAGTTAAATGTGTAATTCTTAAAAGTTTTTAATAGTTTATATGAAATAAATAAAGAGATTTTATTTTGGAAGAAAAAATTTGAAAAAAAAAAATTAATTAATCAGTAACAAAAGCGAATAAATGGAAAACGGCCTCTGGGAAGATTATTAGAATCTTTACTAATTGATTTTTTTTCTTAAGTTACTGAAGAGATTGCCGGTATTTTAAAATAATATTTTTTATAACTCGCAAGCAAGAAATAAAAGAATTTTAATTGTAAGATAAACAAAGAAAATAAGAGAGTGCTTTATAATTCAAAAAAAAAAAAAATAAAAAAAAAAATAGTTTTAATTTCTGGAATTGTAGGCATTACGAGGTCTGATGGCACCGCCACCACCTCCTCCTCTGTTATTGCCGAAGTTTCCTCCACCATTACCAAATCTATGACCACCACCACCGCTGTTGCCTCCTCTATTATTAAAACCATTCATATTATTACCACGATTATTGTTTTTCTCTTTACTTAATATGGATGCGGCATTGCGAGCCATATACTCTAAATCCGGATTAACATTTTGATTGGCCTCTCGCAATATATCCACCAAAGCTTTGGCACATTTTGCATTTTTAGTTGTAAAGAATGCATACGATGTACCAGTTGAATGCTTACGTCCAGTACGTCCTATACGATGAATATAATCCTCCGACGATTGGGGAAAATCAAAATTTATAACATATTTAATGCCATCAACATCTAGACCACGAGCCGCTACATCTGTAGCCACTAATATATTGGAACGTCCATTGCGGAAGTCGGATAAAACATTATCACGATCTGATTGCGATTTATCGCCATGAATGGAACCAACTTGTACACCAAAGCCATTAATAAAACGTGCCAATTCATCAACTTTCTTTTTGGTAGCAACGAAAATGATAATTTTTCCAGGATGAGGTTGATCATAAATATTTGATAGTAAACTCTTAAGTTTTGAGCCCTTGTCTGTCTCGTGACAGACATCAACATATTGACGTATGTTATGATTGGCCGAGAGTTCCAAAGAGCCAATATTAATCTTAATAAAAGAACAGTAATAAGTTTTTAAACTACTCCTGATTCTCTATATTCAAATGATTACCTGTATGTAATTATTACCCAGGAAATCTTCAGCTAGTTGACGAACCTCTTTTGGCCAAGTGGCGCTCCACATTAAAATCTGACGATCTGGTCGTATCTGACTTAGTATCTTACGTATTTGTGGCTCAAAACCCATATCCAACATACGATCGGCTTCGTCGAGTACCAAATATGTACAGCGTTTCATATTTGTTACCCCGTTAGCTAAGAAGTCTAGCAAACGGCCGGGTGTTGCAATAACCAGTTCCACTCCACTTTCAAGATCATTACTTTGTCGTGTTTTCGGTGTGCCACCAAAAATACACGTATTACGCACATAAACATGTGAACCAAAATCATCAGCCACTTTTTTAATTTGTTGAGCCAATTCTCTTGTTGGTGCCAATACCAAAGCTATGGGACCGTCGCCCTTTGCCAAAGGCGGCTGATGATTTATGTGGACAATGGCAGGCAAAATGAAAGCTAAAGTTTTCCCAGAACCAGTCATTGCAATACCGACCAGATTATTACCACTCATAGCTATGGGCCAAGACTGAGCTTGTATAGGCGTGGGCTCACTGTAGCCCTGGCGTCGTATCTCATTCATACAATAGTCCGGAAAGCAGGCTTCGTCAAAGTAAATAATTGGTTTCGGAGCAGGTCCACGTACAGTAATTTCATTGGCTGCTCTATAACGTTCTACTTCGTTCATGGGCCGTGCACGGGTTTTGGGATGCTCCTTGTAAAAATCCCTTTGAAAGGGCGGCAAACGTACCTGCATCCAATTAATCTCCCGCAGATCTTAAAAATTATAAGTTTAATAAGGATCAGTTTAATAGTTTAATGAAGGAGTTTTATTGCTTACTTGAAAAGTCATCAGGATTTCTATTATTATTCATGCCTCTATTACCACCACCACCACCAAATCTTAAACGTTGGTCACGTCCAAAGCCACCTCCCGAATGACCACCACCGCCACTACCCGAAGGACGACCAGGTCTCTCTACACGACCATTTCTTACATGACCTCTATTGCTGCCGGAGAATCCGCCTCCTCGGCCTCTGGAGCCACCACCATCAGAACGGCCTCCTCGTCCTCTTCCATTCTGGTTTCCGCTTTTTGGCGGTGCCATTTTTTCCTGTAGACACTTTTCGTCTCTAGTCGTTTTTTCTATCAACGCTTAGTTTTCAAGGATATAGATCAATAAATTGATTTTTATTTTCAAGTCAATAGCAATAAAACTTATTTTTTTAGTCTATTAATATTTGTAAAATAGAAAAATCCACAAAATTTTTAACAAGATTCGGAAAATCAAGCGGAGTATAAAAATATATTGAAAATTGGCATTATTTAGGAAGTGTTTGGAAAGAGGGAGTAATTTATATATAAAAGTTTTTTGTTGTAAGATAGTTTTTAAGGTGAGTTACCAGATTGTATGTTTAGTTAGTTAGTTAGTTAGTTAGTTAGTTAGTTAGATAGTTAGTTAGTTAGTTAGTAGTTAGTTAGTTAGTTAGTTAGTTAGTTAGTTAGTTAGTTAGTTAGTTAGTTAGTTAGTAGTTAGTTAGTTAGTAGTTAGTTAGTTAGTTAGTTAGTTAGTAGTTAGTTAGTTAGTAGTTAGTTAGTTAGTTAGTTAGTTAGTTAGTTAGTTAGTTAGTTAGTTAGTTAGTTAGTTAGTTAGTAGTTAGTTAGTTAGTTAGTTAGTTAGTTAGTTAGTTAGTTAGTTAGTTAGTTAGTTAGTTAGTTAGTTAGTTAGTTAGTTAGTAGTTAGTTAGTTAGTTAGTTTAGTTAGTTAGTTAGTTAGTTAGTTAGTTAGTTAGTTAGTTAGTTAGTTAGTTAGTTAGTTAGTTAGTTAGTTAGTTAGTTAGTTAGAGTAGTTAGTTAGTTAGTTAGTAGTTAGTTAGTTAGTTAGTTAGTTAGTTAGTTAGTTAGTTAGTTAGTAGTTAGTTAGTTAGTTAGTAAGAAAATCAATTCTTTATTTATTAGAAATACAAATAAGTTTTTGTTATTTATTTATGGCGAGTGTAAATAATCTTTTAAGCTTATCAACAATTCGAATATACAAAAGCTTTGTTATTTTAAAATGTTATAGAATGTGGCAATATCAGGCTCCAGAGATCTGCGCTGATTAAGCTTGAAGCAACCAAGCCTAGCTGCCTTGTGTCGATTATATGGAAATCATTTTATAGGCACCTTGATATATTATTACTCAAGTATCATAAGAGCTGAATAAAGTACCCTCTCCATTTTTTTGATATACCCAAACCTAGGTCAAACGGTTTACAAAAATGACAAGGCACTTGGAAAAAAAGGGTCAAATCAATTTGAAGCCGCTGCCAACATTTTAGTGTCAGACGCCGTTGTCGTAAATGTTTGTCGACGCAGCTCTTTGTGTGGCAATATTACAGCTGTTTATAAAAAAGTAATTTTTAAAAAAGTTCACAAAAAATTGTAAAAGTATAATTATTAAATCAAAAGCACCAAAATATAAATAATTAAACTCTATATAAAAATCTTTACTTAACTATTTAAAGAACATGTCCGTGGAAGAATTGAATGGCTCGGAATTGGGCACCAAAGACTACTGGGAACGTGCCTATGAACGTGAAATAACAAATTATAAAAATAATGGAGATGTTGGTGAAATTTGGTTCGATGAAGATTCGCAAATGCGTGTTATCAATTGGATAATGAAGCAGGAAGACATAGAAGATGATGTATCCATTATTGATTTGGGCTGTGGCAATGGTATGCTGTTAGTCGAACTAGCACGTGAGGGTTACACAAATTTGCTAGGCGTAGATTACTCTGCCAAAGCTGTGGATCTAGCCGAAAGTATAGCTAAAGATCAAGACTTAAAGATCGCATACAAACAAGCTGATTTAATGGATGTTGAATCTTGCAAAAAAATGGGTGAATTTGGTATAGTACATGATAAAGGTACCTACGATGCTATTAGTTTATGTCCCGAAAATCCTAAAGAAAAAAGAGAATTATATATGAAGACGGTGAGGAATATGATGAATGAGACAAGTCTATTTATTATTACCTCCTGTAACTGGACCGAAGAGGAGTTAATCATTAGTTTTAAGGGGAAATTTGAGAAATTATGTAGCATTCCAACACCGTCGTTTAAGTTTGCCGGTAAGGTGGGTAGTGTGGTTACCTCAGTAGTATTTAAGAAAGTTTTAGAAACTCATTGATGTCTTTACAATCGATTTTTTGTAAATTAAATAAAAGAATTATTGAATTTTGCAGTTTTAATAAAATCAAGTCTTTAATTTTAATGACATATGTAAGTTGTAAGTTGATTATACATATTTATTTTAGAGATTTTTTACGTATGGAAATTGACAATCGCCTTTGTTGGCATCTATAGTAGGCAAATCTGGTAACTCATTATTCAGTGCTGTCGACATTGTTGATTGATAAAGTTTTATATAAATCGTTAGAAAAGGGTTACATTATAATTTTTAGTTAAAAATTTCACAAATTTTGTATTTTTATTCGTTATTTAATTGTAGAATTTTCATATGAAGTTAATTAATTATTTGCAGAACATATACATATGTTTCAATATCAAGAAAATTTATTTATCTTTTTTGGGGCTTTGATATTAAAATTTTTAAAGATAAAACTTTAAATATGTATATATTCCAGAAGTCATGAGAAGTGTTTCTGTTAAGTTTTAAAGCTGTGCGTTATATAGCGTCGGAGTATTAATTTTTGGTCAATTACACTTAAACCGCCAAATCAATTATTTTTATATTTGAGGGGTAGAGAGTCCATATGACCAATCAAGGTCCTGCAACACGAGCCGGGCTCCACTAGTCACAGACAAATGTTTAAAACCAGTTAAAAATAATAATTTAATTTATTAAAAAAATAACAATATCTGGCAATATTGTAATAAACAATTACTTTCAAAATCGCTAAAATACTGCGCACACCAAAATCGCTAAAATAACAACCATGTTCACGAACGTCGTCGAATTGTCGTGTTTGCAGCAAAAAAACACGACATCATAGTATCGTATTTGCTGCTTGTCAAACCGAAATTAAACTTCTTGTCGGGCGGAACACAGCACAGTTTGACTAGTAGTAGGATAGTAAGGAAAAATTGATTACATTTCCATTTATTAAAACGGGTTTTCTTACCATTTTCCAACAACTAACAAAAGACAAAAACAAGCGAGTGTTTAAATTATTGCTCAAAGCAATAAAATAATTCATAAAAAAGTGTAAAACACAAAGTGCTCACACAACACACCCCGCCTCGTCACATTAAAAGTTCAGCAGATATTCAGTCACCGATTTTATAAAAAAAAGAAAAAAATGAGTACAACAAATGCGGCAGCTGCTCCAGCCACACAAACTTCTGCTCCTGCAGCCAAACTTAAGGGTGTTGTAAAGCAGGTAAGTTGTTAATTAATTAAGATAAAAATAATTGAGCATAAGTTAAGAAAGTTAGCATTAAAATTAGCGTAAATTCCAATACATTGCCAAAAGCAGAAATTCATAAATTTTTCTTTTATAAAGAAAGAAAAAAACTGCAGACAATTTTGAACACGCACACAATTACGTCGACAGCACCAGTGACTGACGTTGGCTGCACTGGCGTTAAAAAGAATACGAGTTATAGGGCGCTATGGACGAGTAACACGTTAAACACGATAGATATCATTTGAATGAAAGTTCGTTCGTTCGAGTCGTTTAGTGCCAACCTGGCAGATTTCTTCTTCAACTAAAAAATATGAACATATGTATCGCTGTCGTCGTTTTCGAGACAGACGCTGCTTCTTGCTGCTTTTGAAAATAATAGTGGCGTTTGCCGGGTTTGCCTGCGTATAGTAGTTTTTAACCTCACTTTTTTGCCTTTTTCTTTTCCCTTGTCTTTTGCTTGTTATCTTTACAAAAAAAAAAGGAGAAAAAAACTAAATTGTCATTGTTGGCCAAGAGAAGCTACATACCAAAAGGGACTGGTAATGTAGGAAATGTAAAGAAAGAATTTTATTTGTTAGAAAATATAATTTAAACAAAATAATTGCTCTTTTAAATGTTTATATTATGACTATTTTGTAATACAAATACTTTCACTTTTTTGCTTAATTGTTTATGATGATGAGGTGATTGTTTATTTGTTGAAAGTGGGGAGTTTGCTTGGATGAGTTAATAGTTTGTTGAAGATATTTTTATTATACATATTGTCTTATATTTGTATTACAGCTTTTTATATTTTTATTATCGATATTGTATGTTTGTGAAAAACTTAACTCGTGGCATTTTAATTTGTATGTTTGTTATATTATCCATATGTTAAGGTACCTATTTAAAATTTGACTGGCAATCTTTATGAGTTTAATTTTTTGTGTAGAACAGGATTTTGGTCATATACTGAGGCTTCATTCTCTGTGGTTGCTCGAATACCGGCTTTTCCAAAACCACTTTTGTATGTAAATTCTGAAAATGTTATCTTGTATGGCTCAGATTATGGAAAACGTAGGTATCAAGAGATTTGGTCGAGTTTAAAATCTACCCTCAGCTAATTTAAATCTAGATAAATTAACCTTTAAATATTGGTATTACATCCACCTTAAATAATAGCAATCGGATTAATATCATGACCTGACTCTACAGGTCGCAATTTTCAAGATAATTTGATGAAATTTGGAAAGTACTATTTTCTTGTCCCAAGAACGTAGCATCTTTAAAATGGTTGAAATGAGTCATTTATTTGAACAAGCCAACATTCAGCCGTACTCCAAAGAGAGCCCTGGAGCTCATAATTATGTTAAATGTTCTAAGTATATGTTCTATAAATGAAACTGACAAATTTCGTGCTGTAATAGGGTCTGCCATCACCGACTATAAGATTTTTCGTGTTTACATGTAAAGTTTTTTTTGGAAAACGATTCGAGGGTAACAATTTTGAAAAAAAATTTATTAAATAAATAAATTCAAATCGTTTTATAGAACGAACTCTATAATACGTCTTTCTATAGAAGCAAACCTAGTTGTACACTACTTAAGAAGTTTTGTTGTTATTTGTTAAACAGAAATAATTCAAAATCTTTTACCAAAGATAAGTAGACAATTTAAAAGATACAAAATTTAGTACAAAATATATTATCTAATAAAACTCCTCCTCAAGAGCTTTTCAATATAATAGCATATCAAACCACACATAATACACCTGCCACATAAAAAAGAAGTGATGCATTATTTGATGGCCATTGAGCGTGGCACGTACTAAACAAACAAAACAAAAACATTAAAATATAAACAAAATTTTAATAAAACACTATAAACAGGTAAAAGTTAAACAAATTAGAGAAGAAGACTCCAAGATAAGGGGGAAATACTAAATCAAAAATAAATTTCTAACTGCACAAATAAAAATTTTATGAGATTTTTATTAAAATAAAAAGTGTGTATGCATTTGTTTTAAGTACAAAAAAAAATAAGTCATTGACTTGTTGTTTAACCAACAAGAAATCAATTTATTATGGCCGCTGCTGCTCATATACAACCGGTATATTTTTACTTATTTAAAATTATGTATTTAAATTATGATTGCTTATTATCAATGGTAACCTACAAATAATATAAAAGAACTTTTTTGTAAGCAGTCAAACAGCTTTAGTTTTCTTGTCACCATATATGGATGTTGGTTTGTTGTTTAGCTGATGTCTGGCCGATGACATGTTGGCAAAGACACTCGCCTGAATAAGTAATCAAATCATGTATAGCAATGATAACAGCTATCAGTTGTATACATATAAACGTATATGTAGTACTTTGTTTACAGTGTTTATTTATTTTTTTGTTTTCTTCTTTTAATTTTTATTTTCTTTCCAACGTATGAAATCGATTTGTGAAAGGTGCAAACAACAAGCCCAATTGAATTTGATGATCTGGCAATTGGATTATCAAATATTTTATTTAATATTTATGTGCATACACATATTTTTCTTATTAATTTCAAATTATAACAATATAATATGCCACGTTTACACAGTGAGATGCAGGTCGTTTGTTGTTGTATTAGATATCCAGTTTAATTTATTATGTATTATAAATTATTGATACAGTTATTGACTGTTTATTACCGGAATTTTGTTTAAAAAACTTTAATGAACCATTAATATGTTTATTTATGAATAGCGGGAGATATTTTTATACCCTACACCACTATAGTAGGGAGGGTGTTATGCATTTGTGCTGATATTTGTAACCCACCTTAAGGTATACCAATCGGCTCAGAATCACTTTCTGAGTTTATTAAGTTATGTCCCCCTGCCTGTCCGTCCATCTGTGTGTCCATGTAAACCTTGTGTGCAATCTACATGGTGAAGTTTTCAAGGTAATTTGATGAAATTTGGACCGTACACCTCTTTCGGTTCAAGAACGAAAGCTTTTGGCAATGGTTAAAATCGGTCCATTACTTCACCTAGCCCCTTTACCACCGTACCGTATGTAAAATATTCTAGTATCTCCCTACATATCTTAGTTTTGTATAAGTCTCAATATTACTGCTGAGTTTCGTAATGATCGGGCCTCATTTGATCCTAGCCCCATACAAAATCCCCTTCAGAAAATGACTTTAATATTAATAACTTATAAACACTAGTATCACTCAAATATCCCATATGTATGTCTTGGATCTTACGTTCTATAGATCTTGGAAAAACAACTATACTTTCGAGATATGTATGTAGGTATATCCAAAATTTTCATTACATTATAATTATTAAAGTTTTATGTATATGATATTTATAGGATAATCATATGTTTATTCTTATCAGGAAGTCCACCAAACTTGACTCCTTTTGGAATTTTGAAAACAGTTTTATTTCAATTTGATGTATTCAAAGGTATTTAGGAAAAAATCTACCACTATTTACGAAATAACAATTTTTTTCACATAAAAATTTAGCTGTTAAAGCAAATTTTAATACATTTTATTTTAATTTTAAATAATATTAAAAATCTCTTGTTATTTAAAAATTTTATATCAAACATTATTCTGTAACGTTTAACATTCTGCTATATAGTTCTAAAACAAAATTAGTACTATTTAAACTACCAGAAAATACAACCTTGTTTTGACTTTCCTCACAGCTGCAGCCAACTTCACTACTGTCATATTTTTTTTGTTCTTTTACAATTGTCAGAGCTGCGAATAGCACGTGTTAATAATTTCTTGCATTCGTTTTTCTTTACAAAGAATTAAAATATTAATTAATTTATTAACTATCATTATGTAAGTTAAAAAAAACACACACAAAACAACAACAGTAAATTAAAATAAAATTTTCTTTATAATTATAGGTTTTATCTGGTGATACCGTTGTTATACGTGCCCATAAAGGTGCCCCACCACCAGAAAAACAAATTACCTTCTCATATGTTCTTGCTCCCAAGCTAGCCCGCCGTCCTGGTGCCGGTGGTGATGAAACCAAGGATGAACCTTGGGCTTGGGATTCCCGCGAATTTTTACGCCAAAAATTGATTGGCCACGAAGTAACCTTTAGCTTTGAGAAGCCTCCAAACTCGAATCGTGAATACGGTTTCGTGTGGTTGGGCGATGAAAACGGTGAAAATGTCGTACAAACTATGGTGAAAGAAGGTTTGGTAACTGTACGTCGTGACAGCCGTCCCCCAGAGCCCCACAAGCAAGAGGAATTGCAAAAACTTGTTGAATTGGAAGATCAAGCCAAACATGCTGGTCGTGGCAAGTGGTCCAATGCTTCTCCCGCTGATCATGTCCGTCAAATTAAGTGGACACAAGATAATCCCTCGCAAATTGTTGAAATGTTCGGTGGCAAGCCCGTAAAAGCTATTATTGAACATGTGCGTGATGGCTCAACAGTACGTGCCTTCTTGTTGCCCGACTTCTACTACATCACTTTAATGATTTCGGGTATCCGTTGTCCCGGTGTTAAATTGGACTCTGAGGGCAAACCTGATTTGAAGATCAAGGTGCCATACGTTGATGAAGCCCGCTACTATGTGGAAACACGTTTGTTGCAACGTGAGGTAGAGATTCGTTTGGAATCTGTTAATAATGCCAATTTCATTGGTACCATCATCCATCCCAAGGGCAATATTGCCGAGTCTTTGTTGCGTGAAGGTTTGGCTAGATGTGTTGACTGGTCCATGGCTTTGATGAAGGGTGGTAAGTAATCAACCAAAATTTTTATTTTATATTAGTTTTAAGTGGCATCTCGATCTCAATGTTAGAATTATTTAACCATTTTTAATGTTGGAAACATAGATGCCATATTAACATTTGTAGGACAGTTTCAAGGTGTTTTTGCTGTTACTTTCCAGCATTTACATTAGTTAACTTGCCCACATTTTGTTATTCTAATTATAATCAGTTATTTGTTGGCATATTTTGTTTTTACTTAGAGTTATTTGAGTCAAATCTTAATAAGGCTTTGAGATAAAACCATTATATGCTATAATAAAATGGCGGATTCCAAGATTTTTAAGCTCTTTTACTAGCTTTAAAATCATTTCACCCCGGCAACATTTTCTAAAGTAAATAGTTTTTACCAGAAACATGTAGATATGTATGTAGGTTGAATTGTAGATGCTTTACTAATTGTTACTGTTTTTGTTTTTTTGTTTAGGTGCCGAAAAACTACGTGCAGCTGAACGTGTAGCTAAGGAGAAACGTTTACGTTTGTGGCAAGACTATAAATCAAATGCTCCTACATTCAATACCAAGGAGAAAGACTTTACCGGTACTGTTGTTGAAGTTTTCAATGGTGATGCCATCAATGTCAAACTTCCCAATGGTCAAATCAAGAAGGTGTTCTTCTCTTCCATTCGTCCACCACGTGACACTCGTGCTGTTTTCGGCAACGATGGCGAAGAAGTTGTTAAGGCTCCTCCACGTCCCAAAAACTTCAGACCTCTTTACGAAATCCCCTTCATGTTTGAAGCTCGTGAATTCTTGCGTAAGAAATTGATCAACAGGAAAGTTCAATGCATTTTGGATTATGTATCGCCTGCCCGTGATAACTTCCCCGAAAAGTACTGTTATACCGTACTTATTGGTGGCCAAAATGTTGCTGAAGCCATGGTAGCTAAGGGTTTGGCTTCTGTTGTACGTTACCGCCAAGATGATGATCAACGCTCATCTTGCTACGATCAATTGTTTGCAGCTGAAAACCAAGCCATCAAGGGCCAAAAGGGCATGAACGGCAAAAAGGACAATGCCACCATGCGTGTCAACGACCTTACCGTCGATCATTCCCGCATCAAGGTTCAATACTTGCCTTCCTGGCAACGTGCTTTGCGTACCGAGGGTATTGTTGAATTCGTAGCCAGCGGTTCCCGCCTCCGTCTTTTCATCCCCAAGGATAGTTGTTTAGTTACCTTCTTGTTGGCTGGTATCTCCTGTCCTCGTTCATCTCGTCCAGCCTTGAATGGCGTGCCAGCTCAAGAAGGCGAACCCTACGGCGATGAAGCCTTGACATTTACCCGCGATCGTGTATTACAACGTGATGTCTCCGTACACATTGATACCACCGATAAGAACGGCACATCTGTCATTGGTTGGTTGTGGACCGACAACAACATCAACTTGTCTGTTGCTTTGGTCGAAGAAGGTCTCGCTGAAGTTCACTTTAGTGCCGAAAAATCCGAATACTACCGCCAACTCAAGGCTGCTGAAGACCGCGCCAAGGCTGCCAAGAAGAACATCTGGGCCAACTATGTTGAACAAGTGGTTGAAGAGCAACCCGTTGTTGAGGAGAAAGAAGAGAAAGTACCAGCTGAACGTAAAGTTCATTTGGAAGATGTCATTGTTACTGAAATCACCGAAACCTTATCCTTCTATGCTCAATCATGCGCCAGCGGTTCGAAATTGGATACTTTAATGGCTAAATTGCATGCTGATTTCCAATCCAATCCACCAATTGCTGGAGCATACACCCCCAAACGTGGTGATCTGTGCGCTGCTCAATTCTCTGCCGACAATCAATGGTACCGCGCTAAGGTAGAACGTGTTCAAGATGGCCAAGCTACTGTTTTGTACATTGACTACGGCAACAAGGAGGTAAGCACAAATCCCTTTTTAGTTATGCAAATATTGCAAGCTCCTTAGATCCGTTTCCGTCTAAAAGTGAAACGCATGAGTCATAAGTTTGCTAAATCAATTAATAGATCTTTTTTCGTTTAATTCAGTAAGCATTAACGTTTGACCAAAGTTTGTCATGAACTTAAACTCATTTGTCACTATGGTTGTTGTTAGAGGCACTACAAATGAAAGTCAAGCTAAGAGTGGACAATTTGACTTTAATATTTTTTTAAGGTTGCTGATTAGAAACTTTTACAACGACATTCGTTTAGCTTCGAAGGCAATCGACATTTGAGGGTCATCTAAATTTCTGCTTCAAGATGAACAAAGACCTACAAAACCAAACTCAAATTATCTCAATCTTCTAGACTATATCTTTGTAGAATTGAAACTAATGACGTTTTCCACTTCAATTCTAGGTTGTACCATTCACTCGTTTAGCCGCTTTGCCAGCGGGTTTCACTAGTGAGAAACCATTTGCCACTGAATATGCTTTGGCTTTGATTCAACTGCCCTCGGACAACGAAGATAAGGAAGAAGCTTTGCGTGCCTTCGCTGAGGATGTACTCAACCGTAAGGTACAAATTAATATTGAGATGAAGTCTAGCACCGGTCCTTCCCTTGCAACCATTCACGATCCCTCTACCAATATCGACATTGGTAAACAATTGGTGGCTGATGGTCTTGTGATGGTTGAGAAACGTGGCGAACGCAAACTTAGAGAATTGATTGATCAATACAAAGCTGCCCAACAAGCTGCCTTAAATGCTCATTTAGCCATCTGGAAATACGGTGACATTACACAAGACGATGCGCCCGAATTCAGCCGCTAAAGACGCATTTTTCTTGCGCATTTAGCTAAAGTTGAATGTTTGTCTGCCACATACCCGCCCTTTAAAACAACAACAACAACATCTACAACAAACAACAACAATACACGAAATGAATAATTGATAAACAACAAAACATTATTTAAATGAGAAAAAAAATAAAAACAAATTCCCTTTAAAAAACAAAAGAAGAAATTAAATATATGGTAGAGGTTTATATACAACATTAACAACAAACAAATATATAAAATTTAATCGTGTTTTACAAGCTTCCAGTAAAATAAGTTAATACTACAACAAAACAAACAAAAAACAATGTCAGAAAAACACCAATAACAACAACACAAAAAAGCAACTCAGCAATCAATCAACAAAATTCCTTTTTATACATAAAAATAAAACAAAACTTGAGAAAAAGATTCTATACGACGAATGTGTGTAGATCGATCTAATCTATTATGAGGAACTCATTTTTCAAATTATCAACAACAAAATATATTCAAATATATATATACCGCTTTCTTCAAGTTAACTATTATTAAATTATAACAACAAAACAAACGACTAAAACTAAATAATTTTTTATTAATTTTTGCTTTCAATACTATTATATATTTTGCTTTCAAATACTTGTTAATTGTATTTTCTCCTAAAAAAAAAACATTTATTTTCGCCTTACGTTCCCTTTATATTTTTCTATTTTTTTAGATTATGATGATGTTTGATAAACATTTTTTTATTAAGGAAAATTATAAATATTTCATATAAATATATATTTTGTCATTTTTTAAAAACATAATTTCAAGAAAAAATACACGATGTAATTAATATTGAAAATATACATAAAAATTGATTTATTTTTTTGGGCGTTGAGTAAAGATTATAGACAAAACGGGTTCTTTTAAATTTTTGATTTAAACAATTATTTCGTATTTGCATTCTCTCTGGTGCTGTCAAACTCTATATATAACAAATATGACAAAAATTCGCGCCAAAATGACCGAATAGTACATAACCATATGGTGTGTGTCTTGAATAAAATAATTTGTCATCAAAAAAATACCGCAGCGACAAGCGGATGGAAACAAAGTTATCGAATGCATTTTTTTCCAAAAACGATTTTTTTATAAAAACATCGAAAATAGTATACATTTATCACCGATTTTATATTTTTCAGAACAACTGTCTACAATTTTTGGTAATTTTTTTATAAATAAATAAAAAAGGGTTCGAAAGTCTGAATGTTCATTATTGCATTTTCAGTGTGACCAGGTCTCAAAAACTGTTGCGGCTAAATCCCATCCAAAATAATGCTAGAAAAAATGCTAAATTGATTTTAAAATGCCAAAAAAATGCTAAAATTTTTTAAGTGTTTTTATGAACAATTCATATTAATTTGTAACTGAAATCATTGTAATTTATGACAAGTAAGAAAGTATATTCTGCCGTGGTTGACCATATGAGTATAAAATTTGATTTATTTTTCGTATTAAGCATTTATGTTGAATTGAACCTTGGTTCCGATATATTTAAACTAATTTTCTGAGAAAGGCTTTATACATTTGTATATGTATGGGGGCTAGGTATAATAAAGGACGGACTTTAACCATTTTTAAAAGGTTTTGTCATTGGATCAAAAAGCATACATGCTTATTGTTTTGAAAATTTCAACCTCTACCAGACGGTCAGACTTATTTGGCTTAATCGATTCAGAAAATGATTATTAACCGATTAGTATACTCAAACGTAGTATAGTGGAGTAGGGTAAAAAATTAAGTTCCGTGGTATTAAGATAAACAGAAATGCTAAAAATTATTTCAAAATTTTTGTAAATTTAGCAATATGTAATGTCTCTAACTTTAAAATATTTCTGAATGCAAAAATTACATTAAAACTCTATTAATTACACTAGTTGCTCATGGTATAAAACCTATATGTGTTTTCGGAAGGAAAAGTACAATATTTTTAGTTTTACTTTTTTTTATATAAACAATTTTTTTGTCTTCCTCAAAACACTTTAAAAATGGTTTTCATGTCACAAAAATATTGGAAATTCCGTTGAATTAATTTTAAATCTCGGTGAATAGATGTCAGGTTTATAACTCATACTTCCAAGATTTTTTCGGAAAAATATATATGAAAATGAATGAAATGAATTGAGAGATATATTCAAATCCGTAAGTTTGTAATTCTGGAATAAATTGTCAATAATATTTTCGAAATTTATGTATTTTTTTTAATTAAAAAAAAAGTGACAACAAAATTACTAAAAATTTGGTAAAAAAAAAAGAACAGAAAGTAGGATGAGAAAGTCTTAATAATATATTATTGATTTTTTTCAATACTTATTTTCAATAAATTAACAAGAACTCCTGAAGGGTGATAAAAATTAAAAACTCTTTATTTCGTATAGGAAAAAATAAAATTTGTTAATTAACCGTCATACATAACCTTTTCCAAAATTATATTTTTCATTCCATGAGCAAACAAAAAATATTAGTTTGTAAAATAGCGTACTGAACGTATTTGTAAAAATATATGAAATCTCTTGAATTATTTCTATCACCTCGAATTTAAAAAAGCATTGCGTTTCAGAAAAATATTTAGAATACGTATTTGTAAAAATATATGAAATCTCTTGAATTATTTCTATCACCTCGAATTTAAAAAAGCATTGCGTTTCAGAAAAATATTTTAGAATACAACATTTTAAAGTATTCACTTGTATTGGCGTAATTTTAAGTTATTTATCTTCATAAATCTTTTTGCATTATTTTGAATTACAGTGTAAATTATTACATTTCTCATATTTCTTGTTGCTTGTGTTTGGGTAGACATTTAATTCTGATTTTTTTCGGTTAAACCTATTTCCAATATAAATCTTTTTTGCAAAAATTTGACTTTTTTGTTTATATACTAAAATTGCAAAAAAAAAGCTAAAAATGCTAAAAATATTTTATAAAAATGCTAAATAAAATGCCAAATGCTAAATTAAAATTTTACAGCTAAATCAAAATAAAAAATGCTAAATCTAGCTGCAAAAATGCCAAAATGGTCACACTGTGCATTTTAAATAAATACGAATCACATCTCTGGATTTTAGCTAAGACTCAAACCAATATTAAAGTAAAGGCCTATTCTAGTACCAAAAAGTACAACTGAAAATATTTTCTACTTGACATGATTTACATTGTTAATTTGTAAAATTACACGACTTTTTATACATTAAGAAATAGTTACGTTAATTTACAGAATATTTTATTATAAAAATGTAAACATTTATTACGTTTTATTAATTACTATAAATATTAAATAATTCTCTTAAATTCTCTTAAAAATCTTTTTTCTCTTTAGATTTTTCATTTTTTAACAATTCCACTTTTTGAATCAATTCATCTATATTGAAGTCATCTGGTATATTCAAAGTATCCTGAAACGATAAACAGAAAACATGAAGATAAATCAACTTTTCGCTAAAACACAATAAAAAATTTACTTTGACGGATAAATTTTCGGGAAATAAATTACATTTTACCGAACGATTTATTTTCCATCCAAAAATTAAATTTTCATTCAAAATTTTTTTTTTTTTTTTTTTCAAAATAGTTATTTTTGCTGAAAAATTATATACCTAATTGTCAAAAAATTTACTTTTCACAAAATCAAATTTTTGTGAAAAACCAAATTTTTATCAACAAATTTATTTTCTTAACAAAAAACTCTTAACCAAAGAATAATCTCTTAACATTTTTCAAAAAAAACGACTCTGCCGAAAAAAATCTTCACATTTATTTAAATTATTTTGGAAGAAGTTGCAATTAGTTAGTTACTTACCAAGTGTTCTTGTAATTTCTTCATGCTGGATTCAATATCTTGCACTGAACTTTGCATTTGAGCCTCGGACACCAGACGTTTATTAATTGATGTGGTGAACCTATATAGGGAAACATTTTAATTTCGTATACCTATAATACAAGTTGGTATAAACCTAGATCCCTAAACCATATTGTATTTTAATAGTTTTTATACTATGAACCAGGATGCACTTTTACATCATGCTATGAACATACAAATTTGTTGTCTGCTTTGTTTTAGTTTTACATAAAACAGTAAGCAGAAAGGGCTATTTTAGCCGGTGTTCGATAGACCCCAGAGAAAACCTTCGGGCAGGCCACTGTGATTATGAACAAATTACAAATGACTACCATACAAACAGTTTTAGGGCTTTAGATTTGTTTCCACATTTTTAATCGCCGATGTAACTTACTTTTCCAATAAATTACATTCATTTTGTTCCTTTTCAATTTGCTTTTGCTGTTTTTTAATTTCATTTTTCAATTGGACTATAATAGCTCTGTTGTCCAAGTGTTCCTTTTTCTTCTTATAGTAGAAAGTTTGTAGATTTGACAAACGCATATGCTGCAAATTGGTAACACGTTGCAACTCTACAGCTTCATCAAGTAAATTATGAATATCATCACCCAAATCACACATTTCTATGCCCACTAGCTTTAATTGATCTTCATAGAATTCCCCTAAAATAAAGTAATGAAGTTATTGCGGCAAACAAAAAAATAATGTAAACAAATTTACTTAGACGTTTCAGTTGTTTGATTTCCTCGGAAATTAGCAAGGAGTCTGCAGGAAAGTAATGTGTTATATTAAAATAAAAATTTATGTATTTTTACACCTACCCATTATAAAATTTATAATTTTTTCTTCACTTTAAAAATATATTTTAATAAAAAGCGCTTTTCTATCTAATAAGAATATTGCCATATTTTTATAGTTGAGCTTGACAGTTTTAATTGTACTAAAAGATGTTGCCGTACGAAGTAAAAATAACTCTTTGGTAAATAACACGTTAGTCCGGTAAGCACTTCAAACTAAATTTTTTAAATTTAAATATATTTGCAATTTAGAAAAATTTTGTGGATTCCATCTCATTATATTGGAAATTTTAATTATTATATACTAATTTCCTTAGAAATTAGCGTTTTTCTATTTTATCCTGTTAAATTTATATTTTTTGTTGTCACCCACAATAGGGTTAACGCTTTGCATTTGATATGGCAACATTGTTAAACTGTCAACAAACAGCTGGATTTTTCGTTTTGTTTTGATACATTTACATTTATTTACATTTTTATTTGCATACTTATTAGATAACGAATTCTTATCAAGTTTTTAATTATTATTTTATTAGAAAACTCCTTTAAAATGAGACGTATTTCTAGAATAAGTTGTGTTTATTTGAAGAATCTTAAAGAAAGCAATATAAATCAACAAAGATTATTATTCACTGGCACAGTACAGGCAAGACCATGTTTAGCTTTGGAATGGGAAACAAGCAAGGAAACAATATTTAATAATTTAAATTTTAATCAACAAAAACGTGCCTATGCTCCAACCACAACATCTAATGCCCAAGAATGCTGGAATTGTAAAAAGGAACCAAAGCAAGGAGAAAATTTAATGATGTGTCCACACTGTGGTCATTTGCAAGATGTAAACACAGAGATTGTAAGTAATGAATAAAAGAATTTGTATAATAAGTTTCCTAATTTTTTCGACATTTTTAATGTAGAACTTTTTCGAACTCTTGGAATTTCCACAAAAATTTGATTTGGAGGCACAATTACTAACAAAACGTTTCAGACAACTGCAAACTGTGGTACATCCAGATAAATTTAGCAATAAGTAAGTTCTAGAAATTAATTTAACATTTTCTGTGATCAATTAAGAGCCATTACTATTCCTTAGAACGTCCCGTGAGCAAACAAATTCTGCTGATTGGAGTTCATTAATCAACAAGGCCTACAAAACTTTGTCCGTTCCACTAGAACGTGGTCAGTATTTATTGCAGTTAAATGGCCGGCAAATACCCCAAGATAATAGTGCTCTTAATAAAGAGTTTCTCATGGAAATGATGGAACGTAATGAAGAGGTCGATGATGCCTCGACTAAAAATGAATTAGATGCCATAAATGAAAGTTTAGCAAAAGAACTGCAAGAAAAGGTTGTAGCTTTAGCAAATGCATTTGCGGAGAATAATTTAGATAAGGCCACCTCATTATTGGTTGAAATGAAATATTTAATAAGTATACAGAAGACAATTAAAAATAAATTACAAAAATTAATGGGCAGTTAAGTAGGAATAAGGAAGCACAAAATTTATAGAATTTATCGAAAATTTTCTATAAAAAATGTTCTATTAATTATGAATTTGTGGAAGCTTTTCTATAATTTGTGAATAAATTAGATATAAAAGGAAAATTTGTTGTTAATCGATAATTTGACAAAAACAACATGATTTCGAGAATTAGTCTAAAATTTTACAAAATTGTTCTATTAAACATGATTTGTGGAAACTTTTCTATAAATCGTAAAAATAAATTTACAAATTTATAAAACGAGAATTCGAGAATTTATCAATTTTTTTTTTAATGATGAACTTTTCAAAATGTTTCTAAAAAATCAAACAAACTTTTTATAACAAAAATTGAGATTCGCATATATAGAAACTATAGATAAAGGATTTAACTGAAATTCAATTCAAGAATTTATCTAAAATTTCATATAGTAAAACGAAAATTGAATAAACATTTCATATAAATCGAGAATAAATCAAAATTGTTTTCTATATCTAACTTTTTTAATAATTTCTATAGATCGAGAATTTATAAATCAAAAATGTATCTACAATTATCTATTAAACATGAACTTATCATAATTTTTAATATATTGCCGACGTTACTTTTGTTCGGCAAACAATCAATATCAAACCGCCGCTAACATTTCTACAACTAAACGCCGTTATTAAAATTGCTTGGCATAGATCTCTTATTTTGACAGTTCCCAGAAGAAAAAAAATAATTTATATATCACACCGTGGGCAGAGACTTGCGCCGATTCGGCTTAAGCCGACTAAGCCTAGCCGCCAAAGCCGCCGCCGCCGGAAATTTTTCAGCTTAATACGGATTGAAAATTTCGCCATATTTTGTACAATTTACAGAACCCTTTCGCTAAATTTATGGAATTTTACAATATAAAATTAATTTGTTTTCATTTACGCAAGTTTTCTTTTAACTAATAATAAGCCGCTCATTGAAATTTGGCCGGTGTAAAACTTTCCACAACGTTCGATGTATATGCTTCGGCTCAGATATTTTCGTGTTTACACTGTGTAAACACTTTGTGTTTGTAGCAAACACGAGATACGAAAAATACATTGCTGTGTGACAATCCAGAGTTTCCTAGGTCGTCAAACCAATGTCCCATTTTGGGACATCAAACAAAATCTGTTTGACGGAAAAATTCTGCAAATTTTTGCAAATTCTTTATTTGATCTTCTGCCATTTTACATACATTTTTAGCTTGTAATAAACGTAGAACGTGTTTAATTTGGAAATTGTTTGAATTTTTTTTAAAAAGTTATAGAACGTCTTTCTTTTTAAGAAAGAGGAGGCATCATGATGTATACCTTCCTAGTCACCTAGGCGGGTGGTGGTCGGTCGGCTAGTGGTAGTCTGCCTTTAGAGTGGCGAGTTTTCATACACTCTAATAATGTTTGAATCTTTTGGAATATATAGAAACTATTAGAGCTTTTAGGGTAGCAAAGAAACTGATTTTCTGCAAGATGTTTTATATGGAGTATAGGGTCAAATATAGGCCGATCCTCGTAAAACTTGAAAAAGGATTTGTTTTTAATTTTTAAGAATTTTTTATCCATCCCTGCATAATTTCTCACACAACTTTTGTGCTTGCTCTGTTTTGTTGTTATAAACAATATATTTGCTTCCAAAATCACACTATCTGATCTCTCGGATTCCGTTTTTATTTAAAATCGCTGAAAATTTAAAAACTAAACGTAGTTGAAAACTTAGCCGGCTTACAGTCGATTTTAAGCCGCCGCTGATAGCATATTTAGTGTCAGTCGCCGCCGACGTTAATATTTGTCGGCTCAGGGCTCTGTCACACGGCCAGAGAATATCACAGATTAGAATTCGTAAATATTTTGGAAAATTATGGCTGGACTGGTCCACTTGGCTAGATTTTGTAGTAAACAACAAATAAATAACAATAGAAAATCCTATAGTACCTTAGTGCGTTATACAAACTGCAAATTTAATGCTGCTGGTCAACGTGTGGCTGCCCATTTGGTAAGTTGTCGTAGTAGAGTATCTTTTTTTTCTAAGTTCTTTTAGTACTATAAATCAAGGCCATCATTTTCATTGACAAAACCTTTTTTTGAGACTATTCTACCAACAACTATTTCGTAATCTTTGTTTGGATACATATTTTCACCGAAAAAAAACTTTTGATTATAAATAAGGTGACAATCATGAGATTTAGGAATTTTTTTATTTTGAGTGTTTGTGTGTGCGTATGTGTGAAGTACGTTGTTGTTTTTGGTGGAATTAGAATTAAAGATCTAAACTGGTGGAAATAAAATTTAATATAAAATAAAATTTAATTCAAAATTAGACTAGTAGTGACAGTAAATCAAAAGTAGAAGGAAAATTTAGGATAAAAACCACTTTTCAATACTCTATTCCAACATATTGAAAAGTTTCTATGCCACAACTTTAATATTCACTTCAATCCATTCTTCTGATATTATTTAAACCGCTTATTTTATTCTTATAGAAATTTTCGAAAGAGGAAATTTCGAAAATTTTCTGTTACACAAATCAAGGTGTAGGGTGTCACATAGTTGGCCTAATATTTTTTACCAAATTTGCACAATTTTTTAAACACAACATCATAATTAATTCTTCTAGAAACTTAATTTAATAAATTTCTTAAAAATGCTTTAACCGCACGAAATTCTTCAAAAAACTGTATTAAAAGAAATAACCTATTAATACAGTTCAAATGTTTTTCGTAGATTAAAAGTAAAAATTTATGGCAAAGATTTCCACATTGACTATTTGATTGTTATTACAAAAATAATAAAAAACAATGTTAACATAGTTAATGTTCAAGAACTTGGCCACAATTTTAAATTCAAATTATTATTTTCCAATGATTATTATCATTAAAATCTCCTATTAAAAAGAGACATAATAACAAAAACTCTGGTCCTTTTATTGTCTTTATAGATACTGTAAAATCTGTTAAAATAAAATAACTGTAATTTCAAAAGAATTGTACTCAACCGTCAAAAACAAACAACATGGGACGTACTAAACGCATACGCACACAACGTCAACGCTTAGCTCTTGAACAGGAGCAAACAAAAGATGAACACTTTCTACCGGATTTATATAAATATTTAAGTTCTTTAGGTTGGAAAAATGAAACCAAACTGACAGCACGAAATTTTCTTTTAACGGGCAGAGGTTTATGCTCCAAGTCAGTGGCTATTGAAAAGGAAGCCGATATAATACGTTTGCCCTTGAAAGCTTTATTAACAATTAAAACCCTAGAACAAGATGAAGATTTTAAAAATCTGTTTGATAAAGAGAAATTTGATAAGGAACATAAGATTTCATTTCAATCCTTAATGGCCTTTTATGTTTTGCATCAAAAATTGCTAATGGAGGAATCAAAGCATAAATCATATATAAAATCCTTACCCAATTATTTTACCACACCTTATTTCTGTCCCGTGGCCGAACTACAATGTCTACCAGATTCTATTTTGGAACGTACTGTTGAACAAAATAGAAAGATTAAAGAATCCTATCAAAATCTTAAACTAGTTTATAATTTCGAAGATTTTGATTCTAAATATTCACTTAAAGATTTTCGTTGGTCTTATTTTGTGGTTAACACACGTAGTGTTTATATATTTAGCCGTCTCATTAAACCGGATAAATGTTTCTTTCAGCCTCTTATAGCGGAAGATTGTAATTTGGCCTTAGCCCCCTTTCTTGATTTATTCAATCATTCTGATCTATATCAAACTCAGGCTGATTTAATACGCAATCCCTCTACCAAGCAATTTGAATTCATTTTAACTTTAGAAAATTGTCCTTCTGGGAAAATTCTACCACTTCAACAGGTTTTCATTAGTTATGGTGCTTTAACAAATCTAAAACTTTTAATTGAATACGGCTTTATATTGCCCTCCAATCAAAATGATTATTTTGAAATCTCTCTTAATGATATAGAAACTTTTCTACAGCAGGAAAAGTCGTTTAAAGGTTTTATATTTCATAGAAATAAATTTAAATTTATACGTGAACACAATCTAAACGATCAAATGTTTATCCATAAAGAGGAAGGTATTTCTCATAATCTTCATGTAGTTTTACATTTACTATTCAAAGAAGAAAGTTATTTTCCCAATATTTTAAATCAAGTAGCTTTTGGTTCTGCTGATAATTTATTAAATGTTGATAAAGAAGTTGAAGTTTTATTAAAGTTTAAAATTAAAGAATATGAAGAGTTTGTTAAAACGTTGGACTCTAAAGAAAACTTAACAAAATCGGGTTTAGTTTGTAATCAATATTTAAAAGAATGTTTGGCATATTTAACTAATTGTTTAATTAACTTACAAAGTACCTAAAAAATAATAATATTATTTGTATTTTTATTGTAATTAAAATAAATCTTAATATTTTTATACAATTTTATAACATTGAAGTTTTATTTTAAATATTAATTTCCAATTCTAGCTTATTTCATCCCGTACCACCGTAACAAATGTGGATGATGGCTCTTCTTCTAAAACAAAAAAGAAAATAACTCCCTTTACCCCCACCCCGGGCAGTAAATTATTGGGTGGTGTTTTTGTTAAGAAGGCGCCTCAAGGTAATTGTGTGTTTTGCTTTGTTTATTTTTTCTCTTAAATCTAGATTTTTTTTGGTAAAATGCTGTGTTAAGAAAATCACATATTTTTAAAATTTTTATCCGCCTAAAATAACTGTTTCATTGTCTGTTTTGAGACAAATAAATAAATGGCGCGTAATATTTTGAACTTTCCTAACGGGTTTGTAAAGAAAAAAACGCTAAAAAATATATAGTGGCAATTTTGTAGTAAGTTAATATATTTCGAAATCATTTTTTTTAGAATTTTCTTTTCATTACAAAATTCATTACCGAGTTTTTAAAACTGGAAATTTTTTAAAAAATATAAGAAATTCTATTTTCAAAAATTTCTCTTTTTATAGATTTTTTTATTTCCTTTTTTATAGAAAATTTTCGAAAAAAAATTTTATAAAAAAATTTCCATTTTTTTTAATTTTCTAAAATTTTTTTCAAAGAGATCTCTTTTTTTCAGAAAACATTTTTTTTTTTTTTTTGATAGATAATTTTACAAAAAAAATTTTTATCGAAAATATTCATAATTTTCTTTTTTAGAGGTTTTCTTTTTCGAAGAGTATTTTAAATTTTTTTTTCTTTTTTATTAAAAATGTTCAAAAATGTATGTTTTTTATAGACAAATTTTAGAGAACTGAACTAAATAAAACTGATTTAGAAACTAGAACTTGAATTGAACTAGAACTGAACTAGTACTGAACTAGAACTGAGCTAGAACTAAACCAGAACTAAACTAGAACTGAACTAGAACTGAACTAGAACTGAACTAGAACTGAACTAGAACTGAACTAGAACTGAACTAGAACTGAACTAGAACTGAACTAGAACTGAACTAGAACTGAACTAGAACTGAACTAGAACTGAACTAGAACTGAACTAGAACTGAACTAGAACTGAACTAGAACTGAACTAGAACTGAACTAGAACTGAACTAGAACTGAACTAGAACTGAACTAGAACTGAACTAGAACTGAACTAGAACTGAACTAGAACTGAACTAGAACTGAACTAGAACTGAACTAGAACTGAACTAGAACTGAACTAGAACTGAACTAGAACTGAACTAGAACTGAACTAGAACTGAACTAGAACTGAACTAGAACTGAACTAGAACTGAACTAGAACTGAACTAGAACTGAACTAGAACTGAACTAGAACTGAACTAGAACTGAACTAGAACTGAACTAGAACTGAACTAGAGAACTGAACTAGAACTGAACTAGAACTGAACTAGAACTGAACTAGAACTGAACTAGAACTGAACTAGAACTGAACTAGAACTGAACTAGAACTGAACTAGAACTGAACTAGAACTGAACTAGAACTGAACTAGAACTGAACTAGAACTGAACTAGAACTGAACTAGAACTGAACTAGAACTGAACTAGAACTGAACTAGAACTGAACTAGAAACTGAACTAGAACTGAACTAGAACTGAACTAGAACTGAACTAGAACTGAACTAGAACTGAACTAGAACTGAACTAGAACTGAACTAGAACTGAACTAGAACTGAACTAGAACTGAACTAGAACTGAACTAGAACTGAACTAGAACTGAACTAGAACTGAACTAGAACTGAACTAGAACTGAACTAGAACTGAACTAGAACTGAACTAGAACTGAACTAGAACTGAACTAGAACTGAACTAGAACTGAACTGAACTAGAACTGAACTAGAACTGAACTAGAACTGAACTAGAACTGAACTAGAACTGAACTAGAACTGAACTAGAACTGAACTAGAACTGAACTAGAACTGAACTAGAACTGAACTAGAACTGAACTAGAACTGAACTAGAACTGAACTAGAACTGAACTAGAACTGAACTAGAACTGAACTAGAACTGAACTAGAACTGAACTAGAACTGAACTAGAACTGAACTAGAACTGAACTAGAACTGAACTAGAACTGAACTAGAACTGAACTAGAACTGAACTAGAACTGAACTAGAACTGAACTAGAACTGAACTAGAACTGAACTAGAACTGAACTAGAACTGAACTAGAACTGAACTAGAACTGAACTAGAACTAACTGAACTAGAACTGAACTAGAACTGAACTAGAACTGAACTAGAACTGAACTAGAACTGAACTAGAACTGAACTAGAACTGAACTAGAACTGAACTAGAACTGAACTAGAACTGAACTAGAACTGAACTAGAACTGAACTAGAACTGAACTAGAACTGAACTAGAACTGAACTAGAACTGAACTAGAACTGAACTAGAACTGAACTAGAACTGAACTAGAACTGAACTAGAACTGAACTAGAACTGAACTAGAACTGAACTAGAACTGAACTAGAACTGAACTAGAACTGAACTAGAACTGAACTAGAACTGAACTAGAACTGAACTAGAACTGAACTAGAACTGAACTAGAACTGAACTAGAACTGAACTAGAACTGAACTAGAACTGAACTAGAACTGAACTAGAACTGAACTAGAACTGAACTAGAACTGACTAGAACTGAACTAGAACTGAACTAGAACTGAACTAGAACTGAACTAGAACTGAACTAGAACTGAACTAGAACTAGAACTAGAACTGAACTACTCTTTTTTAGAAAAAGTACAAAAAACAACTTATGTGCTTTTGCCTTTTTACCACAGATATTTAGAAAATTCTTACACACATTTCCAGTTTTAAAAATCCCTTTAACAATTACTTCCCTCACTTGTCAATTGTTTATAAAGCTTCCTTTTACTATACATTTGTTTGTTCAAATAAAAAGTTTTCAATTTCAATATTCACGAGAACCATTATAATTCAGAAACTTTTGTAAAACATTTCAACAATTTAATCAAGCATTGTGCAAACTGCAAAAAAATGTAATTAATACTTAATTGTTTCAAAATTTTCGTTTTTATTAGAAAAAAAAAAATTATTTATATTTTGTAAATATCCATCAACAAGACGATTTTGAGGTTAAACTTGTGTGTTGTAATATTGTAGTATTTTTTCAAAATAGTTTTTTTTTGTAAAAATACTATTCTAAATTTGTGTCGTATTGATGAAATGTCTGTTTTGAAAATATCTTATTCATTTCATCAATATTCATAGGAAAGAATATGTATAGTCATATTTATAGTTTCTAATATTATTAAAATTTATCTTAGCGAAGTGTATAGAAATGTTTTCTGTTGCGCATGTCTTCTGTTTAGTTAAATTTTATTAGAGTAATTAATGAACTCAGTTGATGGATATTTCAAAATTCGGTACAATCGAATGTAAGTTTACTGTTATAAATATATAAATAACTTGTTTTGTTTTAATTCTTATACCTCTAATGATTCGAATAAGCTTACTAACGTTTTGAAGTCCAACTTTTATGCTTTTAAATTAAGCATTATTCATTTTTCTTAGTAGTTTGCAAATAGTAGTAGTTTTCAATATTATGTAAACAGACTCCTTTCGTAAATATGATATTCGTTTCATTAGAGGCTTGAGCTTTTCAATAACTTTTGTTTATGTACAATAACTTTTTGCTTGTTTTCTAATAATAATACAAACAATTAACAAAAAACCCGATCTGTTGCGTTTTTAGTTTTATTTATTAATATTGTTATTATTAAAATAATTATGTACTTATATGCTTGTGTGTTGTGTGGCCCTGTAGGGATCTACTTTGTTGAATTTAGTAAATCCCCACAGGTCCAGACCATAATAATGTTCAAACGCTACCACAACATATTGTACTACAAACAACACAACCAATACGACAATGTCACATTCATCTAGGAGGTGGTAATGGGGGTAATTCTCTGGGTAAATTAGATGCACCGGAAGTAACATCACAGGATATGTTAAGAGCAATGATGGCGTATATATGGCCTAAAGAGGATCCTTTAGTTAGAAAAAGGTAATATTTATAAGAATTGAATATAAACAAAAATCAAACTAATTTAATAATTTATCCCACTTACAGAGTAGCTATTTCTTTGGGCCTTTTGGCGGGTTCCAAAATGCTGACGGTTTGTGTGCCATTCTTATTTAAGGGTGCTGTTGATACTATGGGTACCTTGTCCATGGATACTCCAGTAGATACAGTATTATCGGTAGCTACTGCTATGTTGGTGGGCTGTAAGTATTGGGGGCGTGGTATTTAAAATATAGATGTTTTCAATTTTCTTTTTTCATGAAGATGGTGTTGCTCGTGCCAGTGCCGCCGCTTTTAATGAATTGCGTAATGCTGTATTTGCCAAAGTTGCCCATCATTCCATTCGCAAAATCGCCACCAATGTGTTTCTACATTTACACAATTTAGATTTAGCATTCCATCTTAATAAACAAACCGGGGCTCTATCAAAGGTAAGAATGTTTTGGATTTCTATAAAATTTTATTAAATTTATGTTTCTTTAATACAAATAGACCATAGATCGTGGTTCCCGAGGCATTAACTTTGTTTTATCGGCCATGGTTTTCAATATTGTACCCACCATTTTCGAATTGGCTTTGGTATCTAGTATATTGGGTTTAAAGGTGGGTAAAGTTATGATAATCGGAATAAAATAATTATTTTACTTGGATTTATATATCTTTTAGTGCGGCTTAGCATTTGCTGGTGTTTCTATGGGCTGTGTAGGTGTTTATGCTGCCTATACTTTATCCGTTACCCAATGGCGTACCAAATTCCGTGTCTATATGAATCAAGCTGAAAATGAGGCTGGCAATAAGGCAGTTGATTCTCTCATTAACTATGAAACTGTTAAATATTTCAATAATGAAAAATTCGAGGCCGCCCGCTATAATGAAGTTCTGAAGAAATATGAATCGGCCAGTTTGAAAACAAGTTCCAGTTTAGCTTTATTAAATTTCGGACAAAATGCCATATTCAGCAGTGCTTTAAGTATCATAATGGTTTTGGCCGCCAATGAAATTGCCAAAGGCAATATGACCGTCGGCGATTTGGTTATGGTAAATGGTTTACTTTTCCAATTAAGTATACCACTGGGTTTCTTGGGCAGTGTTTATCGTGAAGTAAGACAAGCTTTGCTGGATATGCAATCTATGTTTACTCTAATGAATGTAGACAGTCGTGTACAGACTCCTGCTAATGCCCCTCCTTTGGTATTGGGTCCTGATAATGCCTCCATCGAATTTAAGAATGTTAATTTTGAATATGAACCTGGTAAGCCTATATTCAAGGACTTATCATTTACTATACCGGCTGGAAAAAATATCGCCTTTGTTGGTGGCTCGGGTTCGGGTAAATCTTCAATGGTTCGTTTGCTGTTCCGTTTCTTTGAACCTAATTCGGGTAAAATTTTAATTGGTGGCCAGGATATCAGTGAAGTTGATATCGATAGTTTGAGAAAAGCTATAGCTGTTGTACCTCAGGTAAGTGTATGGTTTAGATTTTAGTCATATTTTCGATATTTGAAGGGTATTAAGAAAGTAAGGGACGATTTTAGCAAATCGGTAGATTATGCATAACAAATTCTATAAGCAATGCTTTTGCAACAAAGCTGTTTATATTAAAAAAAAGTATTTCAAATAAAATAATTCTTTTTACAATAACATTACAGGATTCTGTCCTATTCCATGATACCATACAACATAATATACACTACGGCAATCTAAACAAACCACAAGAAGATGTAGAAAATGCTGCTCGTATGGCAGATTTACATGATAACATTATGAGTTGGCCCAAACAATATGACACGCAAGTGGGTGAAAGAGGTTTAAAATTGTCGGGAGGTGAAAAACAACGTGTAGCCATAGCCAGAGCAATATTGAAAAATTCTCCAATTTTAATATTTGACGAAGCCACCAGTAGTTTAGATTCAATAACAGAATTGGTAAGTTTGAAAACATGATTTCTTATAACAACATACATATGTAGCAAATAAAATTAAACTCCTAAACAATTCTGGGTACGCTCAAATGCACACACAGAATATTTTACAAGCTTTAGCTAGAGCTACAAAAGGACGTACTAGTATTTGTATAGCACATCGTCTATCTACGGTTATGGATGCCGACGAGATTATAGTGCTAGAAAATGGACGTGTTGGTGAACGTGGTACACATGCCGAGTTGCTAAAGAAAAACGGTCTCTATGCACGTCTTTGGGAAACGCAAACACAACAGTTTTGATCTTAATATTTAAAAATGCCAAAAACCATAATCCCCCCTTTTTAAGTGTATGTATATAGATTTAAATAATTCGTTTTCTTTCATTTAGCTAGAGGCTGTGTCAGAAGTGAGTGTTTGTTTAAAGAAAATTAATTAGTTTTAGTTAATATTGTTTTAATTTATGGAAAAAAAGAAGAAAAAAACTATCGACAAATTATTTTAAACGAAGTTGTTAAGGTTGAAAGTTTATAAATTGAAGCAATTTCAATTAGTCGTGTAACATATAAATCTGTAATAAATATGTTCCTGTAAATAAATGAAAAAAGACCGAGATACAAAGATTTTATTAAAAATTTATATTTTTATTTATTTCAATATCACACAAATTCTAAATATGCTAATTTGGTTTTTTGTTGATGTCACATCTACATGCACTTTATGGGGAATTGTAATTGTTTTTCATAATTTTTATTTTAACAAGTGGCCTATATTTAAAGAATACACCCAGCAAAAACTTTACTTATAAGAGTTATTTTTGAACTGACCATTGAAAGTATGTCGCCAATGGGCTAGTTGATATTGTGATAGCGTAAGTAAGTTAGTAAGTAAGTAAGTAAGTAAGTAAGTAAGTAGTAAGTAAGTAAGTAAGTAAGTAAGTAAGTATAAGTAAGTAAGTAAGTAAGTAAGTAAGTAAGTAAGTAAGTAAGTAAGTAAGTAAGTAAGTAAGTAAGTAAGTAAGTAGTAAGTAAGTAGTAAGTAAGTAAGTAAGTAAGTAAGTAAGTAAGTATAAGTAAGTAAGTAAGTAAGTAAGTAAGTAAGTAAGTAAAGTAAGTAAGTAAGTAAGTAAGTAAGTAAGTAAGTAAGTAAGTAAGTAAGTAAGTAAGTAAGTAAGTAAGTAAGTAAGTAAGTAAGTAAGTAAGTAAGTAAAGTAAGTAAGTAAGTAAGTAAGTAAGTAAGTAAGTAAGTAAGTAAGTAAGTAAGTAAGTAAGTAAGTAAGTAAGTAAGTAAGTAAGTAAGTAAGTACGTAGTAAGTAAGTAAGTAAGTAAGTAAGTAAGTAAGTAAGTAAGTAAGTAAGTAAGTAAGTAAGTAAGTAAGTAAGTAAGTAAGTAAGTAAGTAAGTAAGTAAGTAAGTAAGTAAGTAAGTAAGTAAGTAAGTAAGTAAGTAAGTAAGTAAGTAAGTAAGTAAGTAAGTAAGTAAGTAAGTAAGTAAGTAAGTAAGTAGTAAGTAAGTAAGTAAGTAAGTAAGTAGTAAGTAAGTAAGTAGTAAGTAAGTAAGTAAGTAAGTAAGTAAGTAAGTAAGTAAGTAAGTAAGTAGTAAGTAAGTAAGTAAGTAAGTAAGTAAGTAAGTAAGTAAGTAAGTAAGTAAGTAAGTAAGTAAGTAAGTAAGTAAGTAAGTAAGTAAGTAAGTAAGTAAGTAAGTAAGTAAGTAAGTAAGTAAGTAAGTAAGTAAGTAAGTAAGTAAGGTAAGGTAAGTAAGTAAGTAAAGTAGTAAGTAAGTAAGTAGTAAGTAAGTAAGTAAGTAATAAGTAAGTAAGTAAGTAGTAGTAAGTAAGTAAGTAAGTAAGTAAGTAAGTAAGTAAGTAAGTAAGTAAGTAAGTAAGTAAGTAAGTAGTAAGTAAGTAAGTAAGTAAGTAAGTAAGTAAGTAAGTAAGTAAGTAAGTAAGTAAGTAAGTAAGTAAGTAAGTAAGTAAGCCAACAAATTTTTAAACCAGATATCAGCTTTAACAGACTCTCGTATCAGATTTTCATTTTCCAATTAGTACAAACTTTTAGAAAAGACTACTTTGGCCTCTGTCTTTTGTAACAAAATTTGAAGTACACGTTTTGTAAAGTTTTTGCTGGGATTTGTACAAAAAATATAGTGAAACTTTAAAATCATTACTATTTCATTACATCATAACTAATTTTTTATAAAAATTCACTATATGTTTAAATATTTCATAATTTTTTCATCATCATAACATCATTTTTTCTAATTTCCATTTTTTTTTAATTTCTTTCTCTAACTTCCATAGGTATGGGAACATCATATAACAAAAACAACACACAATTACCCATGTGCTGTAGGAAACGTTTATAATTTTCCACTCTCATCATAAACTCTTGCCATAAAGGCAGTAAGGGTTTCATTTCATTGCTGCCGTCAATGCTGTTCTCAATAATAATATTTTCCTCTTGCATCGTTTTATTAACATAAGTAAATAAGTAGCACGAAGGTTTAAGGCCAATTGTGGTAACATGATGAACTTTGCCACTGGGCAAACTAATACTTTTTCCCGAAGTCAGAAAGTAAGTGTCATTAGCATCTTCATTATAATAACGTACATTACCCTCAAGTATCGTAAGTGAAACATTAGTCAAATCGGGTGATATATAATTGTCCAAAGTGAGGCCAGGAAAGTCAGCAACAAAAATTACATCCGAATAATTATTCCAAGCTAAAACTTCATTGGCTATGGTGCGCAGTTTGGGTCTTAAGTGGTTTAACTCATTGAGCAGAGGCAAAGACCAGGAAGTTCTTTTAAAAGGCGACCATTCGGCCTTTAATAAATCCACACGAGGATCAAATACTCTCTGCTGGAAGCGACCATTCATGGAACACCATATATCAAAGTATATGGAGATGTTGGTAGAACTTAAAGGACTATGGGCAGTATTACGTTTATGTTCCATTTCTATGTTTTTATGTATACAACGAGCATATTGTTGAGCCATATCAGCATATTTAGTCCAACGATCATATTCAGTAAAAGCATAAGGATCCAAATAGTGAACTTTATTATTGTTATTATCAACTACCTTAATGGTAGTGAGTATAGTATCGTACGAATGAACCATCATATCCCAGGAATAACCATATAAACCATTGGTCCAGTTGTTATAACCCTGTGTTATGAAATGTGAATAGGGTAGGAATAATTGTAAACAACAGTAGAAAAGTATCAGACCACTGCGTATCCTTTCGGAAAGAGATATATTTGTTGCGGAATTTATTAACTTTCTGCAGGCATTACAGTAAACCAAAGGCTCTTCAGGAGGATTTGTTTTGGTTAAAGGATTTTGTGTTTTAGTTTCTAAAATTTCAATTTTATCATCATCAAGCTGTTTTTGTTTCATCGTGATTTTGTATAATTTCTTTAAATTTTTTAACGACAACTTTCGGGGCCAATCACAGCTATAAAACATGGGCACTTGAGCTAAACATACCCATGGAAACATGCCTGTAATGAAAATTTTTTAAAGTGTTAACGAAATTCTAAAATATTTGTGTAAACAATAGTTCTGCAGTCCAAATTATAGTCCAGACTATAGTTGGGTTTATTGTTTAGACTATAGTTGAGTTTATAGTCTAGTCTATAGTCAACACTAAGTCCAGACCATTGTCTAGTGTTTGCCCTAGACTATAGTTTAGTCTATAGTCCAGAATATAGTCTAGACTATAGTCCAAACTATAGTCTAGTCTATAGTCCAAACTATAGTCTAGTCTATAGTCCAGACTATAGTCTAGTCTATAGTGAAGACTATAGTCCAGTCTAGTCTAGTCCAGACTATAGTCTAGTCTATAGTCCAGACTATAGTCTAGTCTATAGTCCAGACTATAGTCTAGTCTATTGTCCAGACTATAGTCTAGTCTATAGTCCAGACTATAGTCTAGTCTATAGTCCAGACTATAGTCTAGTCTATAGTCCAGACTATAGTCTAGTCTATAGTCCAGACTATAGTCTAGTCTATAGTCCAGACTATAGTCTAGTCTATAGTGAAGACTATAGTCCAGTCTAGTCTAGTCCAGACTATAGTCTAGTCTATAGTCCAGACTATAGTCTAGTCTATAGTCCAGACTATAGTCTAGTCTATTGTCCAGACTATAGTCTAGTCTATTGTCCCGACTATAGTCTAGTCTATAGTCCAGACTATAGTCTAGTCTATAGTCCAGACTATAGTCTAGTCTATAGTCCAGACTATAGTCTAGTCTATAGTCCAGACTATAGTCTAGTCTATAGTCCAGACTATAGTCTAGTCTATAGTCCAGACTATAGTCTAGTCTATAGTCCAGACTATAGTCTAGTCTATAGTCCAGACTATAGTCTAATCTATAGTCCAGACTATAGTCTAGTCTATAGTCCAGACTATAGTCTAGTCTATAGTCCAGACTATAGTCTAGTCTATAGTCGAGACTATAGTATAATCTATAGTCCAGACTATAGTCTAGTCTATAGTCCAGACTATAGTCTAGTCTATAGTCCAGACTATAGTCTAGTCTATAGTCCAGACTATAGTCTAGTCTATAGTGAAGACTATAGTCCAGTCTAGTCTAGTCCAGACTATAGTCTAGTCTATAGTCCAGACTATAGTCTAGTCTATAGTCCAGACTATAGTCTAGTCTATTGTCCAGACTATAGTCAAGTCTATTGTCCAGACTAGAGTCTAGTCTATAGTCCAGACTATAGTCTAGTCTATAGTCCAGACTATAGTCTAGTTTATAGTCCAGACTATAGTCTAGTCTATAGTCCAGACTATAGTCTAGTCTATAGTCCAGACTATAGTCTAGTCTATAGTCCAGACTATAGTCTAGTCTATAGTCCAGACTATAGTCTAGTCTATAGTCCAGACTATAGTCTAGTCTATAGTCCAGACTATAGTCTAGTCTATAGTCCAGACTATAGTCTAGTCTATAGTCCAGACTATAGTCTAGTCTAGTCCATACTATAGTCTAGTCTAGTCCATACTATAGGCTAGTCTATAGTCCAGACTATAGTCTAGTCTATAGTCCAGACTATAGTCTAGTCTATAGTCCAGACTATAGTCTAGTCTATAGTCCAGACTATAGTCTAGTCTATAGTCCAGACTATAGTCCAGACTGTAGTCTAGTCTATAGTCCAGACTGTAGTCCAGACTATAGTCTAGTCTATAGTCCAGACTGTAGTCTAAAGTCCAGACTATAGTCTAATCTATAGTCCAGACTATAATCTAGTCTATAGTCCAGACTATATTCTAGTCTATAGTCCAAACTATATTCTAGTCTAGACTATATTCTAGTCTATAGTCCAGAATATAGTCGAGGCTATAGTCCACAATATAGTGTAGTCTATAGTCCATAGTATAGTATGTATAGTCTAGTCTAGTATATAATCCAGTCTATAGTCTAGTCCAGTCTATAGTCTACTCTATAGTCCAGACTATAGTCTGGAAACAAGGGCTCTGCTGCAATTATGTAAATCAATAAAGAAATGTTAAAAGTTCTTAAAACCCTCATCAAACTTACCGATTACAAACAACCGTGAATTCATCAAATGAAAACTGATCATAAAGGGCGTTGCCAACACGCGTGTCTTACTGCAAGTCATTAGAAAA